TCCCTGGGGGGCGGGGTTGGGATAATCACAGCATCACCCTCTTCTCTGACGGATAATCAGCCAGGCACCCTGCCAAAGGCAGTCCAGCACATGGGGAACTGTGACCCTGGCTGTGCCTAAATAAAGTAGATACTATTGTGACCCCATTTGACCACTGAGACCTAAGGCTCAGGAGGTGGAGCAGTCAGCAGGCAGCTGAGCCTGGCTAGGCACCAGCGCCTCCTACCTGCCACATCAGGTTCCCATGCTGTTTCTGCATGGGGTAGCGGCCACCCTGGGCCTTTTCCACACAGACCTGTGTATGTCCCCATTCCTGGGCTCCTTTTGGTTATAGCTTCCAGCCCTCTGTGGTCACAGAACACAGTTCTCTGGGCCAGGGATGGGTGCACAGGAGGACCCACTCCCCTGACACAAGGCAGCAGCCCCTGGAGCTCAAGAAACTGGGGGCTATGGTTATGCTACTGCACTGTGGGTATGTGGCCTCTACTTGAGTGGAGCATAGCTGCACGCCTGGGAGCCAGGGGAACAGGGGGAGATGGTGACCTTCATGTAAGCATAGCCAACAGCATCTGAACATGCGCTGAGCCCTACTACACCTACTACCTCCTCTTTGCAGGTCCTAATTCTGCCATCCAGAAGGCACCCCAAACCCCACTTTGCCCCCACTGAAGGCCATTCATGAATTCACCAGGGAGTGAACCCCCCAAAACACTCAGGCCAGGACTTACACACTAAACAGGTACTTGAGCCTAGCTTTAGGAGGAGGAGGACTTGGAGATACACCCTGAAGGCCAGGCAGGATTTCAACAGAAGAGCTGGCATGGGAAATGCAGGAAGAAAGTGCACAAGCAGGAAGAAGCAGGAACTTTTAGGTGTCCAGACAGCAATCCAGCCAGGCAGGAGGCCCAGGGTCATGTGTGAAAGCACCAAAAGAAGAATCTGGAAATAAATACAGGCTGATGCCTGCCTATGGAGGGCCTTGAATGCCAAGCTGAGGAGTTGGAATTTAAGTTCCCTCAGCAGTAGGGAGCCACAGGGGGTTTGGGAGCAAGAGAGTGATGATGAATAGAACCAGTGGGTGTATTTTCTTCTTTTCAGTCAGCATGAGTGTTCTCCATGGGCCCCTACCTGTATAAACCACACACAGAATTCCACAGGCTACCCAGTTAAGCTCGCTGCATTTGTCATATGAACTTGGGAAGACTTGGCATAAGTTCACAGGAATATGACTACGCATGACAGGTGGTTGCTGATTGTTTTCAAATCCATGGAGCTCCAAGCTTGGGTCAGACCAAAAGCAGGGCCCTTATGTGCCTTGGCCTGGTGCCCCTGGACCCCAATAGCCCAGCTTCAACCTTTTGCTTGGCACCCATTCAGCAACAGGGCCAGGAGATTCCCTTAGGAAAAGGGCAGCTCCTTGAGATCACATATGGGATCTTCTCCTTTCCTAGACCGTCAGGCCAGGACTTATACACTAAACAGGTAGCTACATACCAAGTAATAGTCGCTCATGCTTTCAGGCCCGATTGGTTACTTCTCTGCCATTTTGGAGCTGTGTGCTGCTGGACATATATCTCCACCTCTCTGATCCTTCCATTTATTCATCTACAACCTGGAGATGACTGTTGCTCACACTACAGCAGGTACATAATCCTGTCAGTAAAATACAGCAAGGCCTACAGAAAGGCAGGGATATATACTGCTGGCACAAGACTAGGTCCTGCATTTTATATGAAAAAGGGTCCAGGCTAACATGAAGCTCTTTGTCTGGCCTCCATCTCTCTTAACCTTTGTTTAGGCCTGGAATCTCCTTAAAATGTGATGACAGCTTAGAGCCCATTTCCCAATGTGTGCATAATCCTGTGGCCCCCAGAATCTCCTGGAAAGGTGCAGGAAAACAGAATCTACTAACATCATTGAGCAGCTACTCCATGCCAGGCACTGTGCTACAAGCTGGCAACGTCTGCAGTGAAAACAGCAGGCACCACTATAACCTACAGAAAAGGCAGCTGCTGGTGAGTACTGGAGAGAAAACAAAGCAGGGAAGGGGAGAGGAAGTGCCAGAGATGGGTGTGGGCTTTGAAGCATTACACAGGGTAGCCAGGTGACATTTGTTTCAAGAGTAAAGGAAATGAGGGAGCCAGTCTGTGAATATCTGGGGAAGTGAATTCCAGCCCAAGGGAACAGCTAGTGCAAAGGCCCTAAGGTGGGAATGTACCTAGTATGTAAGGAAGAGTCAGGAGGCCCATGAGGCTGAAGCAGGGAGAATAGGGCAAGAGGGAATATGATGTCATCCAGATGGTGGAGACAGGGAAGCAGATTCTGCAGGGCCCCACCAGCCAAAAGAAGCACTTTGGTTTGATTCGTTGTGAAATGGAAAGCTACTGCAGGATTTTGCACAGAGGGAAGGGGAGGATGGAAGGGAAGAAAGAAACAGGGCCGTCTGCTAGGTGCTTACTGGAGTAAATCAGGCAGAAGATGTTGGTGGCTGGGACCAGTGGGTAGCTGAGGAAGAGAAGAGAAGGCTGAGACTGTGGGAGTGTTTTGAAAACAAAGACAACAGAATTGTCTGCTGGACTGGATATGGCATGTGAGCAAAAGAGAAGAATCACAGATCATTCCAGCCTGTTGGCCTGAGTATCTTGAAGGATGCTGGTATCATGAGCAGAGATAGTGGACTATGGTGGACAAGGCAGTTAAGCGAGGAGACAGGAGCTCAGCTCAGTTTGAGATGACTAGAGACAATCTAAGTGGTGGTGCCGGCTGGCATCTGTGATTTCAGTCTTTCCAAGACACTCAAGGATCATGAGCATCACTGCCTCCCTGGGGATGCAGAGTGACATGAGGCTAGGAAAGGCAAAGGGAATAGAATCCCATCTCCCACATCCTCGTCTGATGCACATTCAGAGGATGTGCAGCTGCCTCCGACCAATGATCCGTGATAGACATGGCTACTCTCCATTTCAATTTGTTTAATCAGATTCCCTTCAACAGACTCCAGAGCTCTCAGCTCCTGGAGGGCACTGGGATGGCTTTCCGTTCTGTGGGGTCTTGAAGGTGTGAACCTCCACTAGTTCAGTCACCAGAGAACAATATCTTCTCCTGGTCTCCTGCTGCTCCAAAGCAGACAGAGTTGGGCCCAGCCAAGGTGGGTTCCTTCCTTACTGCGCGGTGGAGCAGCTCACCCCACCTCACCCGGTCCGGTGATAAGCTCTTGCTGTGTCCGGCACGTGTGCCTTGAGGTAGGGCCCAGACGCCACTCTTCCACTAGCGAACTTAGTCAAACCCTTGGAGAATAGCCTACATGTAGGCCACCAAGAGATTCTGCGGGATTCTTGCAGGGGACCCTCTGGCGCTTTCTGAGGACCTAGGGAGTAGGCGTGGAGGGAGGAGGGGCTGAGCGGGCGGCTGTCCCACCCCTTTATTCATGGCCTGCGGCTCCGCGGAGCGTCAGGTCTTTACTCTGAGGTACTCTGAACAGAGCGCTGCTGATCTCCGAGTGGAAGAGGTTCTCAATCCCTGCCGCTGCCGCCGCCCAGAGAAGTCCAAGTTAGTAAACGCACCTGTGGTGGGAAACCTGCAGAAGGGGTGCAACCCAGCACCCAGGGATGGGGGAGGGGATTCGCCAGCCTCTGCTCCAGGCAGCTTGCGAGGAACCAGTGCTCCTGCAAAAGCCACAGGTGTCCGCCCGGAATAGCGCCACGGAGAGGGCCAGTCCAGCCCAGCTTGGGTAGGGGCTTTGCCTGCTCTGGGCCAGTAGGGCGGGAGACCGCCGCCGGCTCGCGTGCCTGGGTTCCTGGGTAAGCTCACCGGCAGGCAACACCGACAGCTTCCGAGCCAAGAGCCGGAGAGGGGATCGGGGAGTGAAGAGTAGAACACCAGGCAGACAGGGGAGGGCGTGCAGTTCATTATGCACCACTTGAGAAGTCTGGTCCCTGTTGCCGCCACTGCAGGTCGATTTGTTTGGAGGTCCAGGTGCGAGCTGGTGAGCAAGAGGACGACACGTGGGCGGAGGGACGGGCGCAACCCACCCCTAGTCACCCACTGCACGTGAGCACCTCTCCCCAAGGGAGGATGGGGCTGAATCTGGCTCTGCAGAGAGTGGGAAGGGGGAAAAGGTTTAAATATGCTACTTTTTTATGAGAATCCCATCGCTGGGACGTGTTGGGGTCCTATAGGAATCTATCAATTCCCTTTCTCTGTTCGATTCTGCCCTCTCCCCTCTCCATCCACTTGTCTCTACCTCACTTGATTTCTGTCTCTCAGTCTCTGTCCTCCCTTTGTCTCTCTTGATCTCTTGTGAGTCTGGAGCATTAACTCGCCCTGTCGCTGGTGAGTGTTGGCTCTCTAACTCTCCCGGTTCTCTCTACGTGTGTCGGGGAACCCAGAGCTCAGGATCTCGCTGTTCCCACATGCAGGAGGTCTACCTGAGGCTTGGGTTTTCTAGCGCTCCGGGCTGAGCCCGTGGCCCTCCGGTAGGCTCTGTCTGCTTGCGCCCAGGGGTACTTGGTCACACTGATGTTTCCTCTCCCCATCAGCTCACCGTCTAGGAGAGCCACCTGACGCCAAGGGCACAGGCCATCCTCCACAGCGTGAGAAGCTTCTGAGGTGAGTGCACCCGAGCCCCTTGCGCTCCTTTGGTTTCCCCACACATATATGTCACCCTGGTTCGAGCTAACTGGAAAAATGAGGTGGCCACAGTGAAGCCAGACTGGGGTGACTTTCCCCTTTTAAAAAGTGAATGGAGGTCCCAGGAGGCCCCTTGAGCGTCCGGTGCTTTGGGGCTACCTTTAGCCCCATCACAGCCTGGAAACCCAGTGTTTCCAAGCTCGAGGCCGGCGGGGTCGCCGGCAGGGCAGCGCAGCTTCTCCTTTAAGACCAAAGCCGCTCGTCGCTGTGAGTGTGAGGGTGTGTGAGTGTGCGGCGTGCGTGTCTCCTCCTCCCCGAGTGACACAGCAGTGAGAAATGCCTATCAGTAACTTAAACCCCCGAAACTCCACCTTCCGGGCGCGCGGCGCGGAGCCGGGCGGTGGGAATGGAGCGAGCAGATTGAGGCCGCCACTGCAGCGCCGCCAGCATGAACTTGGCCGCGAGCTGAAGCGGCCGGCGGCGGGCGGGCGCGGGGGCACCGGCCGCTAGCCAGGGGGTGATCTGCAACCGGGCTGGGCCATTCGGCGGGCGCCTGGGGCCAGGCTGCCCTCGCCGGCGGCCGCCCGCCCCTCGGGCACTGCCCTGGCCGCCGCCGGAGCTCCGCAACACGGTAAGGTTGAGGGCGGGCTGGGGAGATTCAACTGCTCTCGGGGCTCCAGGGTACACTTGGAGCCCCCACTTAGAGTCCCTATTGTTGAGGATCCGGGACCTTGGGGTGCTGCGGAGCCGGGGTACCCCAAAGTTTGCTCTGATCACAGGGCCCACCTGGCACTGGGGGTGGCCATCCCCCTCTCGGACCAGCCCAACCAGGCTGATCGCAGCTCGCATCACCCCGGGGCCGCGGCCTCTGCTTGCTTCTCGGCTCCCACCGGGCGTCTGAAATCGGGCGGAGGCAGCTATATACCCGGGAGGGAAGGTTGAGAGCGCAAGCTGCTCAGGCTCCTTGGGCTGCGCTGGGCTACAGGGAGGCTCCCATTCCATACCAACACCCCTGGGCCGCTCACAGCCCAGGTGCCACTGGCGACTCTTCCTTTGCATGCCAGCTCCCTAAGCCGGGCTGGTGGGCAGTGGGCACTGAGGGAAACATTCTCCCGCCCCAACCCGGTTTGCCGCCTCGGAGCAGTAGTGTGGAGTGTGCGCGCGCCGAACCCGCTGCCCAGTGCTCCCTCCCCTACCAACTCCTCCTCGGTAGTGCAGCCCTGAGCTGATCTAGCGGCTCGAGGCAGCCCCTACTGGTCTCCCACCCCGCGCTCCTGCCGCCCCTGTGCTAGACTCAGCGCTCCAGGCTCCCGCATCCGTGTGGCAACAGAGCCGGGCGCCTGGCGCCGGCTGGGGCGGGCGGGAAGCCCCCCGGAGCGCCGCCAAATACTTTATCCGCCAGTTGGCTTGGGCCAGGCTCTGTCCGATGCAGTGTGTCCGAAGCCTCCTGGAAAGCTGGCATTGATGTCTGACTCTGATCTGTGATTAAATTCGGACTGAGTGGACACTAATAGGATCAGCCTGCAAGAAAACTCGGCCCCGAAGCCGTCGGAACCTTAGCAAACAGATGCGCCTCCAGCCGAGGAGATTCACTACCCACCGCGTTCCTACAGCTGGGTGCGGCTGAGCCCCTGCACCCTGAGTGTGGGTGTGTGCGCAGGCGGGAGCACGGAGTGGCTAGGGGACATAGGAAAAAGGACTCCCATTGCTTGTTTGGCAGCAGAAGGAACCCCTCAGGGCGCTGTCCTCAGGGCTAACGTGCTGTTTTCGTGTAGCCGACCAAGGCCGGCTTCGGGACAGAGTGAGGGCTAGTGATCCCAGCTTGCTAGAGATAACCGCACTGTAACAAAGACGCAAAGTCTCCCTGAGCCGGAGCAAGAGTTGACTACGTAGAGGGTCTAGGTCTCCCATAGGAGACCACGGCAGGAATCGTGCCACCCTCATCAGCCCCTGTCCACGGCGAGGGAATGTATTCCCTGACTCTGAGCCGGCGGGCAGCATCACAACGGCTTGGCGCTCAGTTCTTGGCAGGCGCGTACTCCCGCCCGGGTGCCCATCGGCCGGGCGGGGTCGACCGTGTACCCTCCGGGGCTTCCCAGACACCATCACAGCCCTGGGCCCCTAGAGGCCTCGCAGCTTCTTTCCTTCCCTCCCTCCCACCTCTTCTTGTCTTTATAGATCCCCCCTCCCTCCCAC